AGAGATATAATGTATTGGGTTCTCCTGGAATTTCAATATCACCGTGGAAGGTAAAAGGAGGAAGGGGGGGGGGGTGAGGAAGGAGGAGGGAGGGTGAGAAGGAAAGAAAGTTGGACGGGAGGGAGAATAAGGGAAAGTGAGGGAAGGAGAAAGTAGTGAAATGGAAGGGGAATAAGAAGGAAAAAAAGAAAAAACAGAAAGATACAGAAATATCCAACACATTCCTCAAGACACAAGTAATACATCTGTTCATCGTCACTCAATCTCCCCCTGACCGTCACACTCTCCCCCAACACCTGACAGCGAGAGTCGATGTCCACTGTGAATTAGAGTTGACAAATGTGAGAAATACTGGAGATTGCTGAGAAATATTTACGAAGCCAAATGATTATAATCTGTCCCATGATAGATGAATGGATAATGGTAAATAAACGTTAATGGTGTAAAAATTGATGATAGGGATAGATACAGGGTTGAAGGATAGTGTAGATTATAGTGAATCATCACATGTGGACTATCCAATAACCTAACTACTAGTAAATTATCCACCAGTTAAACTATCTCTCAGTCGATTAGAGCGATAGAGTCAGTGTGCATTGTTTTAAAATTCCCGACAGTAGTCTAATTAATCAAAAATCCTTTGACACTTGGTAATTGCCCACGTCCAGGTAATTTCCACTGCCCATCAATTACGGTGAAGGGAGTATCAACACTGCCTCATGACCCAAAAGCCTGTAATTAATGACTCCGGGATCACTCGTGTGTTTGTGACCGTCAACCACTAGGGGAAGGGGGGGGGGTGTAGGAGAAGGGGAGGGAGGAATGGGGTGAGGAAGGGATGTGGGGGTGACAGAGTGTCATGGTAATGGATGAATAAGGATTTAGTTGAAAATTTATGCACAAAATGGTGTGTGTGTGTGTGTGTGTGTGTGTGTGTGTGTGTGTGTGTGTCTGTGTCTGTGTCTGTGTGTGTCTGTGTTGTTTACGTCATCATGAAAAAACCATCAATAACCACAAATAATTATTAACCTTTACGACCTGCACTTAGGTGTGCATTAATAAATTGAATCACCTGCGCTAATCAGGTCATGACGTAGGGAGGTACTCATGACGGTGTACTCAGTGTGACCAGTACTCAAATTAGACTAAATGAGTTACACCATGGACCATCACGACGAGTCACTTTAAGGGGGTCAGCCAAGGCGGAGGGGAGGGGGTGGGGTGACGTCACATATCAACACACAGGTAGGCAGAATGCAGGTAAATACGGGTATATACAGGTGTATATATAAGTAGGTGAGGATATATGTATACTACCTCCTGTTGCGTCACCCACACGTGCTGTACTCCAACAATGGGGATTCGATCTTGCGACCAATGGACCATCAGTAGAGTATGATATCCACTTCGCCACCGCACAAATGGAAGTAATCTTGAGGGGGAGGGGGGGGGGGTATTCTCCTTTTCACTGTGTATGACTTCACAATTTCCCCACCAGAAAGGGTCTCTGTGACGGACAAGATATGATCATTCGTCTGCCATTCACCACTATCTCAGTGTTACTGTTGGTGCACGGACAAAAACTCACTGGGTTAGGTTAGGTTTGGTTAGGTTAGGTTTTTTTTTTAACGGGCATTAGCTTACCCGGGCACAGGTCACTTTATAATGACCCACATCGAGGCCTGGTGGGGCGGGAAAATATCAATAATAATAATAACAATAATAATAAAATTAATAAAAAATAAAAAAATAATAAAAGAACTATCATGTGGTGGTTATGGTAGTTACAGGCGTTCTAACACGCTCCTCTAACGAGTGCTAAAATCTGCATCGTCCTGAACCCCTGAAGCTTGACCTCACATGACCTGACTAATTCAGGAAAATAATGTCAATAGTGTCACGCTTCCCTCACGTCACATGACCCAGTAACCGGACAAGTGAGTAGTACTTATGTGCCAATATTACATTAAGACGAAATAAAGCCTCTTTAACGATCTTAACCGAGACACGACGCACCAGAAGAATTTGAACGTTACATTGAGCATTTAACAACACTCGCCAAGTAGTATGCTGTATGAAACGATGATAAAGAGTCCAAAAAGTAAAAAAATAAATAAATAAATACAAAAATAACACTACTTGCGTTTCTTGATTGTGTCTCCCGGAAGATATCTGGGCGTCGTGTTGGCCTTAAAAACAACCCCGAGTGTACAGTGTGGGCGGCCTGACGTGATAACCACCCCCCCCCCCACCCAAAGTCAACACTATTGGAATTTGTGGTACAACAGAAGTCTCTCCTGAATCAACGAGCTAAAATTTACACAACTTATATTTCATCACGAGTTTCCTTTCTCCCCTCATCCACACCCCCCTCCCAAGATGGCTTCCTTCCCTCCGGGTTGGTTAAAGTTAATTTGCCCTTACCTCGCGTATCCTTGTAACTGAAAGAACTCCTCGTCGGGTCCTGGGTTTTTGCCCAAGTACTAGTGGGTTCGAGCCCCAGAAAGAGGTTCTCTTGTATGTTGGAGTGTTCATTCAACATTCAGTTGGACGCTGACTCAAGATTGTTCGTCAGTAAAACTCGTGCGAGACGCCAAACATGGGTTGAACACTATGCACCGGGGTCCTCACACCATGGACTCCTGCAGGTACACAATAATGTATCTATGTCTACAGCCATTCGATTATTTATTGATCTGTTTATCTACTGTACTTCTAACCTTTAACTTCCTTCCTGTCCATGTACCCTATGAGGCACACCTGGTGACCCTGTACCCTGCTGAAGCACACCTGGTAACCCTGTACCCTGCTGGGAGGCACCTGGTGACCCTGTGTACCCCTGCTGAGGCACACCTGGTGACCCTGCTGCTGAGAGCTGGTGACCCTGTGACCCTGTACCCCTGCTGGGGCACACCTGGTGACCCTGTACCCCTGCTGGGGCAACCTGGCACCTGGTGACCCCCTGGGCTGTACCCCTGCTGGGGGCAGCTGGTGAGCCCCTGCTGAGGCCTGTGCTGACCCTGTACCCCTGCTGCTGACCCTGTGCCCTGCTGGGGGCACCAGTGACCCTGCCCCTGCTGGGGGCACCCTGGTGACCCTGTGCCCTGCTGAGGCTGGGGAGGCCCCTGTACTGAGCTGGTGACCCTGTGCCCCTGCTGAGGCACACCTGGTGACCCTGTGCCCTGCTGGGGCTGGTGAGCTGGGTGCCCCTGTGACCCCTGCTAAAGGCACACCCCTGCTGAGGGCAGGCCCTGTACCTGCTGAGGCAGCACCTGGGTGACCCTGTACCCTGACCCCTGCTGGGGCACCTGGTGACCCTGTACCCCTGCTGGGGCAGCTGGTGACCCTGCTGTGAGGCCGGCTGGTGGGCCTGTACCCCTGCTAGGCACACCCTGTGTGAGGCAGCTGGTGACCCCCCTGCTGAGGCACACCTGGTGACCCTGTACCCTGGCTGCCCTGAGGTACACCTGGTGACCCTGTACCCTGCTGACCTGTACCCACACCTGGGCACACCTGGTACCCCTGCTGAGGCAGCTGGTGACCCTGCCCCTGCTGAGGCACACCTGGTGACCCTGTGCCCCTGCTGCTGGTGACCCTGCCCCTGCTAAGGCACCTGTGACCCTGCCTGCTGGTGACCCTGTAGCTGGTGACCCCTGCTGAGGCACACCCTGTGCCCCTGCTGGGGCAGCTGGTGACCCTGTGCCCTGCTGAGGCACACCTGGTGAACCCTGCCCCTTGCTGACCCTGCTGCTGGGCAGCTGGTGACCCTGTGCCCCTGAGGCAGCTGGTGACCCTGCCACCCTGCTGACCTGGTGCTGTACCCCTGCTGGGGCACACCTGGTGACTGGGGGCCTGTGACCCCTGCTGGGCACACCCCAAGCTGGGGCACCTGTACCTGCTGGGGCTGGTGAGCCCCTGCTGAGGCACCTGGTGACCCTGCTGAGGCCTGGTGACCTTACCCTGCTGAGTGCAGGCACACCTGTGATCTGTACCCCTGCTGGTGACTTGCCAGGGTGAGAGTCCATCTTAACCGCGTTATCCCGGAGCAGATGTGTAGAGACCACCCCTCACAGAAGTTTCCTCCCTCCTCACCTGCTGCCTCTCCACCGCACCTCCTCACACTCCTACACCGTGCTCACCCACTGTCCCTCCTCCTCGTGCCTCGTGCATCAGCAGCTCTCGTCAGCTTTGTCTCCAGGAGTCGTACATTCATTTTTCCTGCCGTCTGTTGACGTCAGACAGCGTCACTTAACCTACAACACGAAGATGCAGTCTCAGTAGATCGTAAGTTTCATCTTACACCACCTACCGGCAGATGTGAGAACTTGTATCACTTAACAACCAATTGGAAGCCGAAATGGCGTCGAAACACCCGGGAATTTTTTTTTTAGTTACGGTAAAAAACCTGCGACTGACATTCCGAGTCAGGTCGGTTACTAGTTCTTAAAAGATTCAATAATATTTTGGCTGCGTCAAACAGTCCAATTTCCGTCTTCCTTTGTCCGAGGAAGGGAATTTTGTTAAATGGAGCTGAACGCACAATGACCTACTGTTTACACGGTCTTTATATTGCGTGGTCAAGAAAGCCTTCACATGTGTTTGCCCCGTACATTATAGTAAACATTCGCTTGTTGAAATGCAATATATTTTTATCCGACTACTGGCAAAACTACAAGCTTAGTGTCCTCGACAAATGGCTGCTCATGAACAGACGGAAATCATGGAGTGACCAGCGGAAACAATCGAGTATCTTCTTCAACCCCCACTGCGACACATTCAAGAATATTTATTATCCTTCAGCCGCGTCAGAGTTCCAAGTGCTCCATAGAGATAGTGGAGTATATTCAATAGATCGTAACTCATGCATGGGGGGTTAATCTGACCACCATTACCAAGGTCTGTCGTAACCAACATAACTAGTCTTTGTCTACTTCAAACAGGTGGGCGGTTAACACAAGTCGCCAATCCGTATAAAAAGGGGGTGGTTGATCAAGGGCGGCGGGGTGGAGTGGGCAGGCAGCTGGGTGGAGTGGGGTGGGCAGGCAGCTGGGTGGAGTGTGGTGGGCAGGAAGCCAAGGGTTGAATGACAACTACAAAAGTTAATAACGTGTCAAGTAGGGAGGTGTATAATGGAGACAATGCTACAAAATGTTGGTTATTTCTCGTCCAAGACTCAAGGCCACTCCAGAGCCACGAGAGTAAGGCAACAGCACTGAACAGGACAATCACCCCCGTATACTGTGGCTTAAGTTTCAGGGAATCATGATGGGTGTTTTTGATTCGTGGGTCCTGTCAATGTGGTTTCTCCAGTGTAATTATTTAATTTAGAAGTTATTTTAAAGCATATTTGGCGCCGTGGTTATTTATATTAGACACCGTTTTCACTTAAGAAAAATTAACCATAAATGTAAAACTTCAAAAACTGTTCTAATTATGTTCCCACAACCAGGTCTAATTATAGTATTCATCCTTAACAATAATAATAAAGTACAATGAAGGTCCTGAAGCATATTGTACAAATGAAAAGTGACCCCCTCCCCCGTCAGGTTAATTAAGAAGTTCAAAAAGGTGCTGAAGATTTTAACTATTTAATCTTAAAAACTGAACAACATGAAATTAAAGAAAAAACATTTATATAATTAATAAGGTTTCCCACACAGGAGAGAATGAGTCTAGTAATGGCAGAGTCAACAGAACCTGCCATTTCAGTACCAAAGGAAACACCAAGATTCTTCCATCAGGGTGACACTAAGATCGATCCATCAGGGTGACACTAGGCCATATGAATTAATCTTCGTGCCTACCTTATAAAGTACCGACGTTAGAGTTATAAAAGGTTAGAGTAAATACTACCTAACAATAGTGTACAGTTTCTATTAATTTAAACTCACAGAACCGGCCCGTAGAACCATTTGTAACTTGGTTCTTCACAGGCCGGTTTAAATACAAATATCATCCGTTCTTACTAATATAACTTAAAACATATTTCCTCTTAACTCCACCAACACGGCAAACAACTTTAAGCTTTGTGGATGGTTAGGAAGGTAATTTATACAATGTTACTTAAAATAACTAATTAGGTTAAAAGGTATAATAAGCAGGAGAATTACCTAATTACATAGAATTATAGAGATCTGCTCATAATTAAGAACCCGTATATAACTAAGGGTAGGTCAGCATGACGGAGCCGATGAGGTCCAGGTAGTGGGATACCTTGGTGTAGACGCCCGGGTAGCCCTGTCTCGCACACCCGGAACCGTAGCTGACGACGCCCACCACCGTCCAGTGAATATCACCAGCCGTCTCCTGGCTCCTGTGAACCATCGGCCCGCCTGAGTCACCCTGGTAGAGAGAAATGATCCAGTCAATAAGAGGTATTCCTTGAACACCTTCTGATAAGGTGTCCTAGTCTTGCGTAATGCTCTTAACACCTACTCAGAATTACTATGCTCTTTATCACTGTTTAGACTAGTACCTGGCAGGCGTCCTTCTCTCCAGTAGTGGTACCAGCACAGATCATCCTGTCAGACTTGTAGGTAGTGGGGTAAGGTACCTGGCAGGAGGCGTGGGACAACACCTGCACGGACACCTCTCTGATCACATTAGTGGTGGGTCCTCCCTCCATCGTGGCGCCCCATCCTACCACAGTCACCGTCTTCCCGTCTGGTGAAAAGTCTGCAAGAGCCAAGAGTTTAGACGTGAAGATAAAGTTCCAGCCAGAGACTAAAGAGAGTTGCAGCGCATTTTTTTTTTTATTTCCAGCCCAATATACAAAATCAAAAGCACAAAACATTTCCATCACATTTCTCACGCATTCAAAACCAAGAAACACCACACACCTGGGGATGGGAGGCAGGCAGGTAGGATGTTGGGTGCCTGGGTGACTGGACGTACCAACACCATTATACCGATATCGTTGTTGTAGCTGGAGCCTTCAGCGTACTGGTTGTGATGGAGTGCCTGTGACACCCCTATGGTCTGTGACACGCTCTCTGTAGTGTCCAGGAGGTCGTGGTCCCCTACTGTCACCGTCACGGGATACCGGTTAACCAGCGATGGACTGAGGGAAGACGTCACAATAAGGGTGTCTGAACTCCTCCCCTGGCCTTTCCTCCGAACCACCCGCTTAAAATTTGCATCTAAACTAAATCCAGTCAAGTCAAATTTTAAATGAAAATTAGAGCCAAGCTGGACGTTTGTACACCCAAACAGCAAGCTTGGACTTTACTTCCTGCAAGACTTTATACACTCCCTCGACTTGGAAAAGGACCATTTACTACACTAAATAATTCAGTCCGGTACATTAGCATCTGCAGTAAAAATATTCAATAGACCATTACTATCAATCACGGAAAACGCCTTCAAGTAGTTATTTCAGAAATCTTTCCCTAAAGGTGCTCATGTCGTGGGCCAAGTTTTATATATTCAAGACCTGAAGGCAAACGTTAAATTGAGAGTTTACCCAAGGCTCTGCTCTGATGTAGAAGGACTAGTCTTCTCAAGAGCGGCTCGGGGTTATTTCAGATTTTTCGGTTAGTGCTTGCGAAATAAAATATTTGATGCCAGTGAGAATGGAAGAACATGACACGAGAATTATTCATGGTAAATATGAATTATGTTCCTATTGTTCAGGACGGATTTAGATCCAGAGCTTTGAACACATCTCCGTTAATTTAAACTATTCTTGGCTTTAAGAGAACAAGATATCAAGAGCGGGACTTACCCAGTGATGCAGTGGGCGGCGGTGAGGACGTGGCGCCAGGAGATGAGGGTTCCACCGCAGTAGTGCACGCCCACGTTGTCCTTTATTATCACCGCCCACGGCCATGATCCCACTCCTGCCTGTGTCCCGCCTACGATCCGGCCGCCCTTCCCGCACACCGTCACGGGCGGGGTGGTGGTAGACTTCTCTGGTGGCGGGAGGACATCCTCGTGGGCGCTCTGGAAAGTTACATTTCCTCCATCGTTAAGTGGAAGGTCCTCAGTGCGTCTTAATTCGCCCTCCATTGGCACATCAGTCGAGTATCGATCATCCTGGGTCAAGTCTCCGTCGCCGCAGCCCTCCGTGGTAGAATGAACTCTATGATCGTAGACCGGCAGGTAATTTACGTCTCCCTGAACTACTTCCAGTATCACGACCTCCAGGTCATGTTCAAAATCGTCCTCGATTGGATTCTCACTAGTACTGTGTTCCAAGTCGTCCTCTTGAAGCGGCAAATCTGACCCTTGTCCATGCTCGCTCTTTGGATAGGTTTCGTTCCCCCACCCTATGGACGGGTGAGGAGGCTCGGAGGTCTAAAGAAATTAAAAGTTTAGTTCACATTTCCTTAAAATATTCATTGCTAAAAATAATCAATATTTAAAAGATCAAATTGGCAGGACCTACCTCAGGGCCGAATTCAGGGACAGGCTCGAGGACAGGTTCGGGGACAGGTTCGGGGACGGGGACAGGTTCGGGGACAGGTTCGGGGACGGGGACAGGTTCGGGGACGGGGACAGGTTCGGGAACGGGGACAGGTTCGGGGGTAGTGCTGGTGATCATCGTTCCCTGGTCAGCTGCAGGAGGACCATCTGAAACAAAAATGATTTTATAGGATTCTCGCGCCCAACCTGCCAACACTCCAACTAAGAAAGAACGTGGAAGGTCACTATTGTAACACTGGTGGTTTTATTAACGATCAATATGGGACAAACATGGTGTCTATATACCAGTTTCTTGCATTTTGGTAGGAAATAGTACCACACACACTACAACTCACTGGAAATAATAGTACCACACCACATAACTCATTGGAAATAATGTGAAGTGAAGGATAGTCGGGGTCAAAAGTTTAATTCCTCCCACAATGAAGCAGTATAGACCCCCCCAAAGGAAATAAAACACCCTACCCACACCAGAAAACACTCGGGGTAAGCAAGTTTAAAGAGAGACTCATTCACGGGATTCATTTTCAACACAAACTTTTTAACCACGACTGTACAATAGTCATAAATGATAGTACGTTAGTTTAATATATCTGAATCATACGAATGACTTCAAAGAGTTACTATTATAAGGGGGTTTAATTAAGTGAAGCAGGAGGTAGAGTTTGACCCTTATGGAGAGGAACTTTAGATCTAGGAGGAGCCGAGAGCTTAACTAGTTTACCGTGTCAATAAGCTCCAGTGAACCTCTTCATAGTCTGGAAATAGAGTATCACCAAGTTCTGTTCAAGTCCAACTGCTAATTACTTCCGCCTTAGTATCAGACAACACTATTTTTTGACGCACACAATGAGGACAACAATATTCCGGGTGCTGGGGACATATTCCTGACTGCGTAAAGGTCTCCACTAATGGAAAGATAACTTAGTAAATAAAGTCGACAATATCATAGATCTGTAAAAACCGATTAAACAACTTCCGAGTCTCCTGTACTATGGGTTTAACTCCCCAGGAACGAGGTCATGGTTTAAAAAGATCTTCATTGAAAGTCATTATACTTAAAAGATCATGGCATCATACTAGAGGGTTTAAAAGCATCATCTGGGTCAATTGTACTCTAGAAGAACGGCACAGTTATCACGAGGTTAAACATAAAACAATTACTAACTAGTCACCAGCAGGAACCCTAAGTAACAAACTAACTTACCTCCGTCAGTAGAGGCCATCACCACCCTGACCACCATCAGTAGCAGAGCCGCCAACTGCGAGTTATATCCCACCATCTTGACGCACACACACTGAGGGTCGACCATTCTCTTCACCTTCCCACCTCAACTCGCTTCCTTACACGTCCTGGTTTCGAACCCATAGACTTTCGACTCCGGGAGCTTCATTAACCTACGACCCACGTGGATTAGCGAGTCCTTGGGTTCGTAGGATTCATTAAGGACACACCTGAATCAAGAACTCCTTCGATTAATAAGGAATCAATGTCCTTATTTATTTATTGTTGAAGTGTAAGACAAAGAATCATTTCAACAACCGATTTCAAAGATTCATGAGACGTGAATAACCAGAACCGCCAATTCCTTGGGAAATTCGTGAGACCTCGCAGCGCCATCTACCTCAAGACGGCTCAGAGCAGAATCACTTCACCAGACCCGAAACTCATGCGACCAAAACAACTATTTTCGCTCCATTTTCTGGTCTGACAAAACTGCCAAGGAAGCGTAGTTAATGCATAGCTAACGAGGCAAATAGGTTGTCATTTACTTACAGAGAGAGAACTTAGTACACCTGAATTATAAGATAGGTAAATAAAGTAGTAAAGTAATAAAACAAACATTACTGTAAGAACTGTTTTATCTATCTGTCTATCTATCTATCTATCTATCTGTCTGTCTATCTATCTATCTGTCTGTCTGTCTGTCTGCCTGCCTGTCTGTTTCCCCTACGCCAGATAAAATTATAACAATCAATCATTTCTCCCATTTCCGGGAAGGATATATAAAGACATCATTATTTACCGACAAAGTGGATGAAATAATGTAACTTCAGACAACAACAACAACAACAGTTGACCTTTGTGTTCAAGCTAACGCCATTATACGCCATTATTGAAGGTACTGTAGCGTATTAAGGCCACCTAGGCGTGAATTTGTTGGTAGGTGTAGAAGCTGTCACCAACACAACGTCAAGGTATAACCCAGGAAGACCGGACAACTCACCAACTGCACTGGCTAACCATTACCCCCGGAACACAATCAACAAATCGATTAATATCCAGGTTCCCAATTACTGCTGGGTAGACAGAGGCAAATGGCGTAATGGAATTTGCCTATATTGTAGATTTTTTTGGTGACCGTACATACATACATACATACATACATACATACATATATACATACACATGAACACGTACTATACATAAGCGAACGTAAATAGAGAATTAGGATAAAAAAATTCCACTTAGTTTACAGGTATATGTTTATTACAGGTATTTAGTGAGGATGTGGTGGTGACCCAGGGTGTGGTGGTGGTGACCCAGGGTGTGGTGGTGGTGACCCAGGGTGTGGTGGTGGTGACCCAGGGTGTGGTGGTGACCCAGGGTGTGGTGGTGGTGACCCAGGGTGTGGTGGTGGACCCAGGGTGTGGTGGTGACCCAGTGGAGTGGTGACCCAGGTATGGTGGTGGTGACCCAGGGTGTGGTGGTGGTGACCCAGGGTATGGTGGTGGTGACCCAGGGTGTGGTGGTGGTGACCCAGGGTGTGGCGGTGGTGACCCAGGTGTGTGGTAACCCAGGGTGTGGTGGTGGTGACCCAGGGTGTGGTGGTGGTGACCCAGGGTGTGGTGGTGGTGACCCAGGGTGTGGTGGTGACCCAGGGTGTGGTGGTGACCCAGGGTGTGGTGGTGGTGACCCAGGGTGTGGTGGTGACCCAGGGTGTGGTGTTAATTAGGGATAGAGAGTCATCACTTCAGTCAGCCATGGGAGGAAAGTGGTGATCTTGGTGTACACGCCCGGGGAAGCAGGCCGCCCACACCCACGCCCGAAACTCACCACGCCCACCACCGTCCAGGGCGCGTCAGGATGCTGCTGGTGAGTCAGGGGCCCGCCAGAGTCACCCTGAGGGGACAACACAGTGCTATACTTGAGCTGTGTATTGTGGGTTACAGCACTCTGTCTATCTATCTATCCATCTATCTATCTATCCATCTATCTAAATATCCATCTATCTATCTATCTATCTATCCATCTATCTATCTATCTATCTATCTATCTATCTATCTATCTATCTATCTATCTACTCACCTGGCAGGCGTCGACACCCCCCTTCAGGTGACCAGCACATATCATCTTCTCCTCCAGGTAGGTGATAGGGTAGGACTTCTTACAGGGCTGAGGGGGTAGGATGGGTATCTCGACCTCCTGTAGGACCTGACTGATGGATCCACTCTCCTTAGTGGCGCCCCAGCCGAGCACCTTAGCTACTGACCCTGCCACAGTGTATCCTGTGGGAGGGAACAGAATTCAACAGGTAAGGGGCAGGTGATATTAGTAATTGACTGGAGGTGATTTGGTGGTGAGGGGGGAAGGTGGTGAGGGGGTGAGGTGACGGAGAGTATTGCTTGTGTGAGGGAGGGACAATATTACCAGAGAGAGAGAGAGAGAGAGAGAGAGAGAGATAATATTACTCGTGAAGAAACAAGTTTACCCGGGTTAGGAAGACAAGCTGGTATGATTCTCAACTCGGGGTCAAATTGTTTAGTTAGAACCAGCACGCTTATGTCACTGTCGAACTTGGCGTGAGTACTGAAGTTGGCGTGGTAGAGGGCGTGGGTGACTCCTACGGTGCGGGTGCGGTTCTGATGGAGATTGTGGTTGCGGTGTTCTCCCACGGCCACCCACAACGGGAATCTCATTGTCTGGTTTTCTCTGTTTTTTTTTTTTGTGTAGAGGGAAACATGTATTAGTTCATGAATACATAGATAGACTGAAAAATAATACATACATACATAGATACATACAGACATATATACGTACATACACATTGAAAATTCTCTATACAGACACAGCTACGACCAACCAACCAAAACAAAGGCTAGTCTATTTTTTTTTACCAGAATAGGAGAAGGCTCTTGGAAACACGACGCCATCTTAGAATAGTTATTACTCTCTCTCTCTCTCTTACTCTCTCTTTCTGTCTTGGTAACTCTCTCTCTCTTACTCTCTCTCTGTTTTGATTACTCTCTCTATCTCTCTTGTCATTGATTTTTTCTTTATCTATTCATTTTACTTCTTTAAACACCATATTTTCTCTTCTCTAAATTATTTCTACTTCTTCTTAATCCTTTCTTTATCCTATTTTCTATACCCATTTTCCTTTGTATTTTATATATTTCTATTCGTATGTCATTTGTTTCCCCCATCTTTCTCGCCATCGTGTTCCCCTGTGGTGTGAGCTGGTAGGCAACCCAGAGAAAAATGCAAGTTTCCCCTTCATGCCTAGTGATTCGTTTTCTTTCACAGGCATGACTGATGTATTCTGCTGTGGTGTTTCCCCCCCCCCCTGTTTCCCTTCCACAACAACAACAACAACAACACACACACACACACACACATACACACCCTAGCCTAACATAAACCAGACTTACTCAGCGATACAGTGACTCACCCAGCGATACAGTAACTCACCCAGCGATATGACTCCTCAGCGATACAGTGACTCACCCAGCGATACAGTGACTCACCCAGCGATACAGTGACTCACCCAGCGATACAGTCCTCACCCAGCCATACAGTGACTCACCCGATACTGACAGCGATACAGTGACTCAGCCATACAGTACTCCCAGCGATGCAGTAACTCACCCAGCGATACAGTAACGATTTACAGCGATACAGTGACTTACTAGCGATACAGCAGTACAGTAACTCACCCAGCGATACAGTGACTTACTCAGCGATACAGTAACTCACAGCGATACAGTAACTCAATCAGCGATACAGTGACTCACTCAGCCATACAGTGACTCACCCAGCCATACAGTGACTCACTCAGCGATACAGTAACTCACCCAGCAATACAGTGACTTACTCAGCGATACAGTGACTCACTCAGCGATACAGTACAGTAACTCGCAGCGATACAGTACTCAGCGATACCCAGCGACTCACAGCGACTCATACAGTGACTCACTCAGCGATACAGTAACTCACCCAGCGATACAGTAACTCACCCAGCGATACAGTGACTTACTCAGCCATACAGTGACTCACTCATTGATACAGTGACTCACCCAGCGATACAGTGACTCACCCAGCCATACAGTGACTCACTCAGCGATACAGTAACTCACCCAGCGATACAGTGACTTACTCAGCCATACAGTGACTCACCCAGCGATACAGTGACTCACTCAGCGATACAGTGACTCACCCAGCGATACAGTGACTCACCCAGCGATACAGTGACTCACTCAGCGATACAGTAACTCACCCAGCGATACAGTGACTCATCCAGCGATACAGTGACTCATTCAGCGATACAGTGACTCACCCAGTGATACAGTGAGCAGCGGTGAGAACATGGCGGTGAGATACAAGGCTCCCGGCACAGAAGGGCACACCGTTACTGCTCAAGATCGACACTACCCATGGCCACACGCCCATACCAACCTCCGCGCCGCCCACGATACGCCCACTCACACCACAGAGAGTAGGAGATAGGAAGTTGGTGATGTTGGTGATTTTGGTTGCTGTGGTTGACACGGGAATAGCACCCATAGTTGTGGTGGTTGTATTGCTATGTAAATTACGTATAGTAGAAGTGTTGATGGTGGTAAGTGGTAGAGGGTTACTAGTAGTTGTGGTAGGAGTGGTGGTAGAGGTGGTAGGAGTGGTGGTAGTGGTGGTAGTTGTCCCTAGATAACTCCACCACCATTGGTAAAATCTCCGATATATTTCGTCACGGAGCTGTTGTACAGGTACTACTCGTGCTGCCAGGTGTTCACTAATTAAGTTCCCGATAGGTGTGTTTCTCTCATGGGCGGCTCTCCTACTGGTGTTGTCGTGGGTCGGGTATTCTTCATGGGCGGCTCTCCTACTGGTGTTGTCGTGGGTCGGGTATTCTTCATGGGCGGCTCTCCTACTGGTGTTGTCGTGGGTCGGGTATTCCTCGTGGGTAGCTTTCCTACTGGTGTTGTCGTGGGCGTGGGTCGGGTATTCTTCATGGGCGGCTCTCCTACTGGTGTTGTCGTGGGCGTGACTCAGGTGTTTCCCGGGCAAGGCGTTGACCCCCTGGCGGCAATAAAATAAGACATACATTAGCTTCAGGTTATGGTAAACAGGTAAGGGTTTCTTGTCGGGTTTCATTCCTTGCCGATGGCTGGCGAGAACAACAATAACAGCAACAACAAAGAATAGAAGAACAAAAAGAAGATAATAATTTAACCCCTTGAGTACGATGACTTAACCCCTTGAGTACGATAACTTAACCCCTTGAGTACGATAACTTAATCCCTTGAGTACGATAACTTAACCCTTTGAGTACGATATCTTAAAACTTCAGAAAAGTATAATATTGGCCAAATAACAACACCATATCAACATTAATATTTCAGAAACAAAAAAAAAATTATATTATCAACTTTGATCGAAAAGGAAACTGAATATATAGATAAAAATTTAACATAATTGGGAAAGGGTTTTAAGGTTAGCGATGAAAAATAGATAAATAAATAAAGGACTAACAAATACACATTAACAAAAATAAATAAATGTACTGTCCATAAAACAAAAACATTCACCGAGTTATTTTATCTGACATTTTGTTTTACTTGTTTATACATATATTAATATTTACAAACAACTATGGACTAAAAAACAAAAATTCCCTGCCACCATCGACCGGGAGGCAGAGAGGAGCTGAACCTGACCAGCAAATGGAAGTCCTGTGTAGTAGAGGGGGTGGTGGCAGGGGAAAACTAGCTAAGGTGGAGGGGGAAATTTTAACCTTGGCGGGGAAAAACTAGCTGAGGTGAGAGTGAATCCTGACTTAGTGCAAGGAAAACTATCTAAGATGGTGGGAAATTAAACCCTGTAGGGGGTAAACTATTAAGGTATATAAACGAGAAAGAATAAATAGGTTAAAACAACTGTTCCCCACTTCAGCACTACCACCACTACTACCATTACAACCACAATTGATGCAACCACAACCATTCCACTACCACACCACCACCTACCACCACCACCACCACCACCACCCACAACACCAGTCTAAAGAAATATCACCCAAATTGCCTCATAATACTACCTAACTACACTGCAAGAACCAATTTACATCTATCCTCTCAAATCCAGATGTCAAAAGTAAGAACTAAACTTTATTATCCTTCTGTGTAATTTGCATAACCAACTCACGTTCTAAAAGCCAATGACATGTTGAGTAAACTACCTAATGAATTATAACTGTGAGTGAGAGAGAGAGAGAGAGAGAGAGAGAGAGAGCTGTCAGGAACCACTCACCGATAAATACGGAAGGGACGGGCTCTTTTGTGTGGCTTCATTAGCCCTGTCCGTCTCACCTGAGGACAGAAAATAGACGACGTGAACATCTTCCTTTAATTATTCTGTCTAACTGTCCATAAGTATTACCTGAAACTCTGTCCAAAACACTGGTGGGATCCTACACGGGTCACTGGCCTCCTATACCCTCGGCATGGATACCTTTAGTTGAGATAAGAACATAAGAACATAAGAATGGAGGAAACTGCAGCAGGCCTATTGGCCCATACTGGGCAGTCCCGTTTACACCCAACCCCTATTGCTCATATAAGCATCCAAACTATGTTTGAAGCTATTCAGCGTATTTGCTCGTAACAAGGCTAATAAAGTACTTGGGTTCATACAAAGGAGTGTTAGTTACAAGACTAGCGAGGTCATCCTAAACTGTATTCAGTTCTTGTGAGACCACACCCTGGATTACGCAGTTCAGTTCTGACGGCTACAGAATGGATATAGAATCCTTGGAAAGAATTCAGAGGAGAATGACAAGACTAATCCCGGGCATTAGGAACCTTGAGTATAGAGACAGGTTAAAGCATCTTAATTTGCACTCCCTCGTGAGACGTAGAGCGAGGGGCGACCTGATAGAGGTGTATAAGTGGAAGACAGGGCTAAACAAAGGGGACATTACAAAGGTACTCAAATTATCCAACCAGGTGCGAACTCGTAACAATGGTTTTAAATTAGACAAATTTAGATTTAGGCGTGAAATAGGTAAACACTGGTTTGGAAACAGAGTAGTGGATGAATGGAACAAGTTACCAAATATCATCATTAACTCGAATATGCTGAATTGCTTCAAACATAGGTTGGATGCTCATATGAGCAATAGGGGTTGGGTGTAAACGGGACTGCCCAGTATGGGCCAATAGGCCCGCTGCAGTTTCCTTCATTCTTTTGTTCTTATGTTCTTATGTGTACTCTGTTTCCAAAGCAGTGTTTACCTATTTCACTCTAAATCTAAATTCTGTCTAATCTAAAACCATTGTTAATGAAGTTCGCTCCTGGTTGATAGTGTTTGAGTACCTTTGTAATGTCCCTTTGTTAAGCTCCTGATTTGTTTTATACACCTTCATCAGGTCGCCCTCGCCTCTACGCCTCGAAGGAGTGCAAATTCAAGATGCTTTAACCTGTCTCTATACTCAAGGTTCCTAATGCCCGGATTAGTCTTGTCATTCTCCTCTGAATTCTTCTAATGATTCTATATCCATTCTGTAATACGGCAGACCAGAACTGAACTGCGTAATCCAGGTGGTCTCACAAGCGCAAGATACAGTTTTAGGATGACCTCGCTTAGTCTTGTAATCAACACTCCTTTTGTATGAACCCAGCACTTTATTAGCCTTTGTTAGCCAGCAAAAACACATTGTTTGCTTGGCCATGTCTTACTTATCATTATTCCTAAATCTCTCTCGCAGTCTGATTTCTCTATGGCATCGTTGTTCATCTGGTATCTGGTTTCCCTGTTTACATCTCCTATACTGTAGTAATTTTACATTGTCCACGCTGAATTTTATCTGCCATTTTTCAGCCCATTCAAAAATTTGTTTAGATCTTCCTGTAGTTTTGCTGAGTCCTCGTCAGATTTAATAACACTTCCTATTTTAGTGTCATCAGCAAATTTACTTATGTTACTGTCTATGCCGATATCTATGTCGTTTATGTATATAATAAATAATAATGGTCCAATTACTGTGCCTTGGGGAACTCCAGTTGTGACGTTGCTCCAATGGGACTTAGTGCCGTTAATGCTCACTCGCTGTTTCCTGTCCTGTAACCATGCCCTAATCCATTTAAGGATGTTACCTTTGATGCCATGTGCTTCTACCTTTCTAATTAGTCTTTCGTGGGGGACGCTGTCGAAGGCTTTGCTAAAGTCGAGATATACCACATCATAATTGTGCCCCTCGTCCACCGATTCGAAAACTGATGAAAAGAATGTTAATAGATTAGTTACACAAGAACGTCCACTTGTGAAGCCATGCTGGGAATCATTGATCAATCTGTGCTTCTCCAGGTGATTTCGAATAGGGTTTGAAATGATTGCTTCCAGTAATTTGCCTACTATTGATGTTAGACTGATTGGGCGGTAGTTAGAGGATAGTGATCTATCCCCCTTCTTGAAAATCGGTATTACATTCGCTATCCTCCAAGATTCTGGTACTACACCTGTTTTTAAGGACATGTTAAACAACTTTGCTAAGGGCATACTAAGCTCTTCCTTACATTCCTTTAATACTCTGGCAAATATCTCATCGGGACCAGGCGACTTATTAGGCTTTAGTTTGTCTATTTGCTAACTAATATCGTTACTAGTCATTACTATCTCGCTTAATTTGTTTTCTTCACTATCTCTGAATAGAGTCGGTGCCTCGGGTATCATGTTTAAATTTTCGGTGGTGAAAACTGTTGAAAAATATTTATTCAAATTATTGCTCATTTCTCCGTCGTTATGAGTGAGTTCGCCGGTATCTGACCTTATTGGTCCAATCTTTTCTCGTGTTTTAGTTTGATACATTTGGTAGAATCCTTTGGGGTTTGTCTTCGCCTCCCTTGCTATCCTTACCTCATTATTCCTCTTGGCTTTCCTTATCTCGGTTTCAACCCATAAGGTAAACAATACCAGATTTAATATCCATGGATAACTTGGTTAACACACACACACACACACACACACATCCTTGCACTCAAAGGCAATTAATGTTAAACCCTTCTGACAAACATTTCCTGGGAAAATAAACAGAGTTGAAACCTGTTGTTAAATGTTGACGAGTATTTTGTTGAATTGAAAACTAGTTCCTTTTGACGACTCTGAATTAAACCTTTTTTCTCCACTAAAACCCAAAACTCATACTTTCTGAATGTTCTTTTACTAAAATTCACTAACTACACTAATTTGGTTTGAATTCAATATCTTTGTTTGGATCACCTGAAGATTCGTTCCACTCAGCTTAATTCACCTGAACATTAATCACCCTCACGCTACCTACGGGTTAGGTTAGATTAGATTAAGCTATAGGTTTGTTAGGGTTAGCGTTAGGGTGGTCAATCTTCAGGTGATTTAAACTAGGCCGGGAAATACTTACAGAACCGTGTTTTGTGGCAAGGGTTAGGTTAGGTTAGGTTAGGTAATCAGTACTCACTCACCTCCCCCTTCGGCTGTAGAGTCATCCCCAGCAGCGCCTCCTTCAGGGTGTTCTGTGTCTCGTAGAGTGACGGCTCTGTGTTTTGGAGCGTAATTTCTATGTACATCCAGTTCCTCTCCTGCAGGGTCTACAATAGGGATATCCAGAGCTCCTTCAGTGCCTCCTTCAGGAACTCTCAGGGATTCTCCTTCAACATATCCTGCAGGTGGTTTTAAACCTTCCCTGGGGATCCTTAAACCTCTTCCAGCCAGTCTTGGGCCTCCCCCAGTGATTCCTATGACTTCTGCAACACCTCCTTCAAATATACGTAACGCCTCCCTCCCTCCCGCTACAGATAGAAGGACTAGCACCAGCGCCACTGACCTGACCACCATGGTGAGACATACTGCTTGACCTCACCTGACCTCTCTCTCCTCCTTACCTGACACCACCTGCAGGGCTATTTCTGGATCGTACCTGTTGGGTCAAGGAGGGAGGGAGGAAGGGAGGGAGGAAGGGAGGGAGGGAGGTGTGAGGTTCTTTGTTGGAGGAGGGAAAGCAAATATGGACACGTAGAGAAGAAGGAACAAAATGAGAAAGTACATACATGCATACATACATACATACATACATACATACATACGTATATACACACCTTCCACCCACATTACTTTCTAATCAGACTTTCCATAAAAAAATCACTACAGTACTGAAAAATTGCTTATAAAGCATCAAAGGAATATTACCTCATTCATGGGAGGTATTTTCCATATATTTAAGTCGGTAAAATATATATATATATATTTTACTGCTCTCTTTTAAGTTTACCTAAATAAGACTCTAAGGTAAATTAGGGACCTTAATTTTTACCTATTCTTAACTGTATTTTGATGAAGATTAATTATTACATTAAATAAAAAACAAAAATAATCTTATGTGGTCAATAACATACAAAAATAATTAAGGTGAAAAAAGTTTAATTTTGTTATACATTTTAAGAAAGCCTTGAGCTATTACGATACAATTTGTATTTTCAGTTTTAAAATTCACAGTAATTAATTTCCTTCATTTTGCCTCTTAAGTGAACGTATCTAGTTAAGGTAGAGTCTCGGTGTTAATTTTGTCGTCTAACTGGTGCTAAGTGAACGTATCTAGTTAAGGTAGCGTCTCTGTGTTAATTTTGTCTCCTAACTGGTGCTAAGTGAAGGTATACAGTTAAGATAGAGTCTCAGTATAATTCGGTGGCCATTTTAGAGTAAGTTAACCATTTACAGGCGTTCTGCCATCTCCAGGAACGGGGAAAAGCTTAATTTACGAAGCTTTAAGAATACTATCGCCGAAAACTAAGCTATTACGGGATAAATGGTGCTGTGGTATCCAATCTTGTGCAATTTGATCACAATTACACACATTTTTAGACCATCGCTGAGGGTTATTGTGTAGTAAAGTCATATCAGCGTCATCTGGTGAGCAAATTGTGCGAAATATAACGAAAAGTAATTATTATTATTATTGTTATTGTCTTTGTTATTGTTAAATATTTCAAATTAGTTTCTGAAGATGTGTCGCTGGATCACAAAGCATTAACGTGACGGAGATGACTTGGGCTGAAAAGTAAAGAAAAAATTAATATATAAAATTAGTCTTGTGAATCATTTAACTCCTATCAAAGTATATTATATAAGACAATAATTATAATATATATTAGGTGTATATTATCTCTCTCTCTCTCTCTCTCTCTCTCTCTCTCTCTCTCTCTCTCTCTACATACCCTGTAGGAGGAGTGAGACCCATTCACCACCTGCTCCATCAGAAGAGTAAGTAGTGCCAGTGCCAAGCCCATGACGTAGACGAAGAAGGACCCTTGCAGGTGAGTCAAGGTGATGGCTCTTGGTCCTCTGCCTCTCTTGGCCCGCCCTAGTCCACCGGCCGAGGAAGCCCCTTGGCCCAGCTTAAGAATCTCGTCCGTCTTCCACTTGTCCACTAAGCCGGCCTCCACTATGCGCTCCAGCCTGTAGAGTGGACCTGGGATTAGCAGTAAGTGGATAGAGAGGAGGACTAGTACCATAGGATAGGTTGTAGGGTAGAGATGAGGTTACGGAGAGATGTAATTTGGATAGATGGGTGCATTTATGCTGATATATCTATCCTTGTCTAAATTGAAAGAGGTGAGGATAGATGTGGATAGGTAAATCCTCTAAAAATCATTAAACCTGTTCTAGTGAATCTTGGCAGTCACTTGGGAATTCCACTCCCAAGATTATCCAAAAGGCAGTAAGTATTTTACACCTTATCTTGTTCTTAAGCTCTCCGCCATCATGCACCGTACGATAATGTCGGTGATGGTGCCAGCCAGTTGGTCACTACCAGACGCACGACCAGAGTCATTCGGAGGGGGCGGCGTGTAGGTTAGATACCAATGATGGGATTTTCAACTCGGTTTCCATACAAAAATAAATCCGTGATTGCAATGCATACCAAAAACAATGGAGTGTACTGGCTAAAGAAAGAGAGAGAGAGAGAGAGAGAGAGAGAGAGATACGTACACTCGATCAAAGACGTCCCTGTAGAAGGCTCCTTTACTACACACTATCCCGTAACTTTGTGGGAAAAAGCTTTGTCGACCAATGAAGAACTTCTCTCGACCTGGAGACCAGAGGAGAACGGCTATAACAACAATAATAATAATAATAATAACAATAACAATAACATACACCCTGTTTTGCTTAGTATGGACACAACCTTTATTCTCCCCAAACTACCGTATGCATCACCAGCCTGGTCGTCTTCTCTCAACTCCACCCAACAACGTCGGCTACAGAAGGTACAGAAAAGGGCCTGCAGAATCATGCTCGGCGCAGAATACTCCGGCTACATCAACGCTCTCTCCACCCTGGAAATGCCATCCCTCAGTGACCTCCACCACCAAGCACTGGCAAGGTTTGGCAGTGAACTACTGCACCACCCTCGTCATCGCCACCTCCTGCCACGGGCAGCCCCCCGCCCACCTCGCGCAGTTCGCCACTACAACAAAATCCAACCCATAAGAGCCATCACCGATAAATATAAGAACAGCACCATCCCATCTATTGTTAAAATAATAAACAACTCCTGATTTATGTACGGTACAGCCCTGTAAATGTATTCAACGCATATCATTATGTCTAAATCAAATGTAAATCTGTATATTTTCAGCCACCGGCTGCAACTCTATTAATAAACCGTTTATTATTATTATTATTATTATTATTATTATTATTATTATTATTAAACAAGCAGATTCCAAAGTACAATGAACTGAATGGCGAGAGATTGAGTTTAAAAGAATGATAGTGACTTGCTAATGGCTTTAAAAGATGATAGTGACAAGAGCTTAAAGACCCTACCTTGAATCATCATCTGTATCTCGGAGCTCAGGCGGGCGTCGATGTAGGCAGCCTTCCCCAGCAGCACCTGTCGGAGGGAGAGACTCAGCTTACCACAAGGAGGGCATCCGCGTGTATTTATTCTTGAAACCAATTTTTTACACTTACGGAGGCCACACCATTGGGGATAGCCACTTACCGAGGCCACACCATTGGGAGGGGCGTCCACGTAGTTCTTGTCGCTAGTAATGAGTCGGCCAATGTAGTGGTAGATACCTGACGTGGCCACCTGGGGGAGATGATCACTAATTAGAGGCGATGTGTGTGTGTGTGTGTGTGTGTGTGTGCAAGGCAAGAATCATCTATATCAAAGCCACACAGCATGACCCCTTCACAGCCACACAGCATGACCCCTTCACAGCCACACAGCATGACCCCTTCACAGCCACACAGCATGACCCCTTCACAACCACACAGCATGACCCCTTCACAGCCACACAGCATGACCCCTTCACAACCACACAGCAACCCCACACAGCATGACCCCTTCACAGCCACACAGCATGATCCACAGCCACACAGCATGCCCCTTCACAGCCACACAGCATGACAGCCACATGACCTTCACATTCATGACCCTCTTCACAGCCACACAGCATGACCCCTTCACAGCCACACAGCATGACCCCTTCACAGCCACACAGCATGACCCCTTCACAACCACACAGCATGACCCCTTCACAGCCACACAGCATGACCCCTTCACAACCACACAGCATGACCCCTTCACAGCCACACAGCATGACCCCTTCACAGCCACACAGCAACACTCACCTTAAACATATAGTCAATGCTGCTCTCTTTAATCACCACAGGATAAAAACCGTGTCTGGTGGCTTCCAGTACATCGCTTAGGGTGTCGATCGGCTTTTCAAACGCAGGGATCGCCAGCACTGCCGTTAGCGTTCCCGAGTACAGTGCTGAGAGAAGAAGGGGGGAGGGGGGAGGGAACAGGTGTGATGGTAAAGTCTATTAAGAGGTAATATAAAAGGATTGATTTTTTAATATGTCTGTATGTTTGTTTGAGGATATGTTCATATATATATTGTAAGGATATTACTATCTATCTATCTATCTATCTATCTATCTATCTATCTATCTATCTAGCTATCTATCTATCTATCTTTTCATTAATCGATCAATCTGTTTATCGATACATACATACATACATACATACATACATACATACATACATACATACATACATACTCACCGTACACATAGTAGCAGTAAAGGTACCATGCCACCAGGACGCACCTCAAGGGCCACTGTACCGTCGGGAGTCTATTGCCCTGTACCACCAAGTTACGGTACATGTTGAAGGTCACCTCCTGCAGAGACAACACCGCGTCCTCTTCCTCCTCTTGGTACTGGCCAATGAGGAATCCAATCAGGAAGAGAACTATGCTAATCCCAATCACACTTAGAGCAATGCTTAACCACACCTGAGGAGAGATAAGGTATTGATTGGTTATGGGTTCACAGGTAAAATTAGACCCCAATTTGTCGTATATCCTGGAACCTTTAGGGCCCCGAGCTGACTTAATCTAGTCTTTAGGATTAGTGTCTACATGTATTGGGCCCTAATCCTTACAGAGCCGCAGTATAAAGGGGTTCCAATGCAAATGGAGTTCAATTATAGTGGGTTCCAATCGTAAGGAACACCAATCTCAAGGGGATCCAATCTTAAAGGGAATACAATACTAATAGTTTGGGGCCCAATAGGATTGAGGTCTATTAGATCTTGGGCCTATTAGATCTTGGGCCTATTTGACTAAACCTTGACCTAGTGACCTGCCATGAATTATCTGAATGGTGAAGTGTAAAATTCTTGACCTGGTGACTTGGTTATATACCTGGGTAGTAGTAACCTAGTGCCCTACCTGTGTGTTGATGGGTGAAAGTCATGATCCTAGTAACCTAGTGATCTACCTGTGTGTTGATGGGTGAAAGTCATGACCCTAATGACGTGGTGACCTAGTGATCTACCTATGTGGTGATGGGTGAAAGTCTCGACTCTAGTGACCTGGTGACCTAGTGATCTACCTATGTGGTGATGGGTGAAAGTCATAAACCTAGTGACCTGGCTCTTTACCTCTGTGGTGAATGGTGAGAGCACAGCGAAGGCCCGACTCTTCTCTTCTGGTGCCCGTGAGATACATGCTGATGACTCCATGAAGTAAGGCCTGGTGAAGTCGACTACAGTCTTCCTCGCAGCTGTCACCAAGATAATTCACCAACATGATTCACCAATATTTAAAGGGATTCGTTAATTTTCAAGCCTTTACCCTTAACATTAGCTAACCAACTCCTAAGTGAATCCAGGCAGTCCCTAACCTAACCTAACCTAACGAGACCTGTATTAGTGACCAGCAGTAGTGATGATGGTGACTTACCTGTAATAGTGATCTCATCAATGGCCAGGTGAGCCTCTTGCCGAGCCACTACACCTATCATCCCCGTCACTGTACCGTCAGGCTGTGAGCCACCCCACTGCCCGTCCTCCTGTACCACCACACGGTACCTGTCAAAACGGTACACCGGGCCATTACATAGGTGCCTCATTATAACGGTACTTCATTATAACGGTACTTTATTATAATGAGGCCCCAATCTAACCTAACCTACCCATTAGTGCTAGGGCCCAATAAGACGAGAACCTATTAAAATTGGGGCCCTTTAAGACTGGGGCCCATTAAGATTGGGGCCTATTAAAACTGGGTCCATTAAGACTGGGGCCCTTTAAGACTGGGGCCATTAAAACTGGGGCCCTTTAAGACTGAAGACCAGCTGACATTCCGACTGTCAGTTTTGTACTCACGTAAAGTTGAGTTTCTGACTGAGGGTGTTGAGAATACTGACATCAATCCCCGAGTCTGACACAGTTGTCCCGTCGTCAGCCTCCGTCAGCCCAAACCACGGCCAGTTGTCCACCGCCGCCACCTACATGAGTAACTACGACTTTACGACTTATTATTATTATCATTGTTGGTGGGATTTATAAAGCATATATACTGTAAACTACGTAACCTGTCAGTTATATACCCCGTGAAATAATTACCCCCATAAAATAAATACCTGATAAAATTAGTACCTCGTGAAATAAGTAAAATAAGTACCCCATATAATACATACCCCATAAGATACGTACTCCCCCCATAAAATACGTACCCTCATAAAATACGTACCCTCATAAAATACGTACCCGCATAAAATACGTACCCGCATAAGAGAAGTGAGGATCTGGTTGAAGCATAAAGACAGACAGACACACTTACCCTCAACTGTCTGCCACGGAAGTCAGTGTGCAGGTTGTGGTGATGGTGGTAGAGAGACTGCTGAAGGTGTAGTGGCAGATGAACCTCCTCCTCCTCCTCCAGGTGGTTCCTCTCCTTCACCTGGCTCGTCCACCAGCTGCCCAAACACTCAAATCTGTGTACGATATATCGGGTCTGTTATGTGTGTGGGTGTGTGTGTGTGTGTGTGTGTATTGGCACTCCATCAATTTGAATATATATCACCAACACTCTCGATTGTTCTCCCATTTTCTACTGTCACATCTCTCTCTCTCTCTCTCTCTCTCTCTCTCTCTCTCTCTCTCTCTCTCTCTCTCTCTCTCTCTCTCTCTCTCCTTCTCTCTCACACTGTCAAAATATCTTTCCGTCTCTAACACGCTGTTAAAATATATCTCCCCTCTCCTTCATAGCGAGAGAATATTTTTCACATTCTCTTCTACAACTAAAGTGTTCGTTATATAAGCCAGGCTGTTGATGCTCTTAAAGTTTTGTTCTTATATATCAAAGTTTGAAGAATTTTATCGCCTTTATTGCCTGAATTTTATCTCTGTTTAACATCGGGTTTTTTAGTAGTTTTATATATTTTTTTCATATTTTTGTAGTGTTTCTAATTCTCTCGTTTATCTGTTTTCTGTCCGTATAACTTTCTCTCTCAGGTTGAAATTTTAAACTTTTTGCAATTGCGTTTTATCTCCTGTTGTGTGGATGTTGATTATTGCAACATTAACACAATTTCTTAAGCGCTTTGTATGGTGTAAAGTCGTGTCCTGATTGGTCAAATGATTCAATAATGGCAAATGTGCAAGAACGTGAATCTACTTGTCTCTTAACATCACCATATACTTACCATAGGCCTATACAAGGACCTGGATAGGCCTATTTTTTCTAAGTTGGTATTTTATGTTAGAGAACAGACTAACACTGTGTAGGACTCTCTAAATCACCTAACCTAACTTAACCTAACCTCAAAAGTTTAAAACCTCCTGCCTTATATATCATCAGCTTTTGGCCAGAGGACGACACTTTCCTGAGGAGACGTAGCAACCAAGACGTAGCAACCAAGACGTAGCAACCAAGACGTAGCAACCAAGACGTAACAACGACGTAACAAAGAAAGACGTAACAACGACGTAACAAAGAAAGACATAACAACGACGTAACAAAGAAAGACATAACAACGACGTAACAAAGAAAGACATAACAACGACGCAACAAAGAAAGACGTAACAACGACACTCTTCTAATCTTCCTTCTGTGCTGGTAATCTATTCAAAAGATAATATATATATATGGTAAGTAATTAACTGATATCACCTGTGTTGACATACCTGACCTTGTTGTCGTGTTGTAGGAAGGTGATGAGCAAGGTGAGAGTCCCAGCTGAACCAGGTCTTACCACCAACACCTGTGGGACCATTAATATTTTCACCTCTTACACCTGAATATCCATTACACACCCACACACCCACACACACACACACACACACACACACACACACACACACACACATACACACACACATACATTTCGTCAACTAAGGTAAGCTTTCGTTCGCTCAGTTTCTTCAATTTTGTGTCAATATGAGATTATTGTTCTTTATGTTTTAAGAAGAAACTAATTAGGGAGATAGTTTCAGTCAGTGTTGAAGCCAAGTTTGCGTTCTTTCCACAGTATGGCGACTTCTTGGAGGATATGGGTAGGTATTTGTGGATATTTCTGTGTGGATAAATTTTATACGTACTTAATATATATCATATGTGGATAGAATATATATGTGGGTGACCGTTTGGTGTGTGGACTAGATTGGGGTACTGTACTGGGGCCCATTAGGACAGAGGCTAACCAATTAAAACTGAGACGCATTAAAACTGGGGCCCATTAAGACAGGAAATCATTTGGACTAGGAACCATAAACACTGGGGCCTATTAGAATGAGGCCCATTAAATCTAGACACCATCAGGACTAGAACCTTTCATAATGGGACATATTTAGACTAGAACCCCTTAATACTGGGAAAAATTAAGACTAAGAACCGCTAGAAATGACACCCATTAGAGCTGGGGCCTAATAGGACTGGGGCCCACCAGACCACTCGTTCCTCACAGTGCCAGACCTCAGTGTGTTCCCTGAGGGTGTGAGCCAAGGAGGCGGTGTAGTCCTGTAGAGTCACCACCACCCACATCGTCTTGCCAGCCTCCAAGGCATCCTCTCTCATCTGTCGCAAGAGACCCACACACATACACCTGTTTTAACACCTGTCTCGTAACTCTTGATGAACACCTGTATCGTCACATCTAGTCTATACTCTACATCGTATATTAAGGAAATTTCTCATAAAAAATAAACATTAACAAAGCAGAATTTCTCATCAGACACGCACCATGTGGAAGATCTCCAGCACATGTTGCTGCGCGCACAGAAGGAGGAAAATCACGCGGTGTGGAGGAACCCCCTGAAGCCACTGCCTGACGGAGGGAGCGTCACACCTGAGCACCATTACCTGGGCCGTCACATGAAGGGGCCTTGGGTTCACCACCTGCGTCATGACGTCTAGACAGCGGGAGAATTTGAGGAGTGTTGGTAAAAGGTGGTGGTGAGGAGGAGAAGGAGGGGGGGGGGAGGTCTTAAGTATCTCCCTGATGAAGAAAGCGTCACACATGAGTTACGGAGCACCACGGGCTTACCATCTCCCTCATGGCGCCTGCAGGAGAGTGCCTCCCTCCCTCCCTACCTACCTACCTACCTACCTACCTACCTACCTACCTACCTACCTACCTTTAAAGTGCGTTCCATAAGCCCGTCGGCACAAAAGAAAACAATATAGCCGGCACTACACATACGACGTCCTTCACATCCCATATAAACTCAGTTACCCCTTCACACTTGGGTCGACTAGGGGTGCTCCGGGCGTGAACTAGATTAACGACCCTCGGGACAGGAGGCGAAAGGTTTATCCACTTGGCACTTTATCCCGAGGACCAAAACAACATTATTTTGTCTTAGTCGTTGTTGATGCCTATGGAGGGTGATGCAGACGTTATCCTTTGTGTGAATATAATGGCCCTCTTCCATTACACCTGTATAATGGCCCTCTTCCATTACACCTGTATAATGGCCCTCTCACATTACACCTGTTTAATGGCCCTCTCCCATTACACCTGTTTAATGGCCCTCTTCCATTACACCTGTATAATGGCCCTCTCACATTACACCTGTTTAATGGCCCTCTCCCATTACGCCTGTTTAATGGCCCTCTCCCATTACGCCTGTTTAATGGCCCCCTCCCATTACACCTGTTTAATGGTCCTCTCCGTTGATACCTGTTTAATGGTCCTCTCCGTTGATACCTGTTTAATGACCCTCTCCCATTACACCTGTTTAATGGCCCTCTCCCATTACACCTGTTTAATGGCCCTCTCCCATTACACCTGTATAATGGCCTCTTACATTACACCTGTTTAATGGTCCTCTCCCATTACACCTGTATAATGGCTCTCACATTACACCTGTTTAATGGCCCCTTCCATTACACCTATATAAATGGCCCTCTCCATTACACCTGTTTAATGGTCCTCTCCCATTACACCTGTATAATGGCCCTCACATTACACCTGTTTAATGGCCTCTTCCATTACACCTGTAATGGCCTCTCCCATTACACCTGTTTAATGGTCCTCTCCCATTACACCTGTTTAATGGCCCTCCGTTGATACCTGTTTGGCCCTCTCCATTACACCTGTTTAATGGTCCTCTCCCATTACACCTGTTTAATGGCCCTCTCCGTTGATACCTGTTTAATGGCCCTCTCCCATTACACCTGTTTAATGGCCCTCTCCCATTACACCTGTTTAATGGCCTTCTCCGTTGATACCTGTTTAATGACCCTCTCCCATTACACCTGTTTAATGGCCCTCTCCCATTACACCTGTTTAATGGCCCTCTCCCTTTACACCTGTTTAATGGCCCCCTCCCATTACATCTGTTTAATGGCCCTCTCCTGTGACACCTGTTTAATGACCCTCTCCCACGACACCTGTTTAAGTTAAGTTACCTGAGAAAAGGTCATCGTAGGCAAGTACCAGTTGACCCTCGGGAGGCTGCTGGTTAAGGTAGGTCAGCAGGGAGGTCAGCAGGCCGGGAGAGATGAGGTCAACGCTCACACTGTCCGAGGTCACACACAGGAGGGATGGAAGGTCATGAGAGAGTAAATTACAGGATGAAGAACAAGATTAAAGTATAGATTACCTGTTTAATCTCTCTCTCTCTCTCTCTCTCTCTCTCTCTCTCTTTCTCGAATTAATCAGTTTCACATCAAACGGACCCTCGTGATAACCGAATTTCCTCTTCATATTACCCGTTAAATAGAAGTTTCTCATTAACTATTAGATTACTAAGTTAGTGCATTGAGTTAAGGTTCAGTGATGCTATTTACGATGTTGTCTTCTTAAGGAATTAGTTTAAGTCAGCTATTTGAGTTTGTTATTGCATCTCTAATACACTGAGGCGTTTATTTGACGGAGAGTACAGTGGAGAGTGCAGTCCGTTAAGGTACAGAACAGGGACTACAGAACTTCCTATTTATATTAATATAGAGTAGATAAAACAAAACAAAAAATATTCTATTACGTTTCCGTCTCAAATTTATATTTTTCGAGTATTTTGGACTTTGATTTCACTCAAGAACCTTCCATCTGACTCAAGCAAGTATTCTTGGTGTCACACGATACTCCTGCGCATGTTCAGTGCCTTGAATTTGGTTAGTAGCAAGATGGCTTCTCTCTCTGCACAGGTGTTTTTGCTCGTCTTGGCAAACCATTCATCGTGTATTTGAAAACGAAGTCGTTGCTATTGTCAATTTCAATGCTCATGGTATTCTGCCGGCCTCTGTGAAGTGCTACAGGCGTTCATACGTTAAATATAAAACGATTGTGAACGAATAACATGACTTGGGTGGTTCGTGTCAGCCATAAGAAGAAACATTACCAACAATATTTCACTCCGTACATGTCCCAAGCTGAATACAACGATCACGAGACTACACTCCACCACTTCCTCCTACAAGTAACAATCAATTTATGCTCCAGCGTCTGCTCATTAAGGTATGTTTCTCACACAACCTCAAGTTAGGAAATTTCTTTAGGTTTCGTTTCGTCAGGGTTTTTGGGGAGGGTGCGTTTTGACCCCACATTTTTCCTCTACTTCAAAACCCTGTACCTTTAAAAAACAATAAATTATACTAGAAAACCCAAATGATGTTAGTTAGTACTGTCGTAATTTCCGTTTTCGATCTTTTCCGAATCTTGACTGCACAATCCAATCTATCGAGGTCCATTTTAGATGTGAACCCTCCATATAGCGGACTGTTTGTTAATAGAGGTTTTACGGACTGTTCGTTATATAGAGGTTTTACTGTAACAAGGAAAACTTAAACCATTGAGTGTCGCAGTAAACAAAATGAAAGGAAAATAATATAAAGAGGCTATTACTTCACCCGTGAGCTTCTGAAGGTGGTGATGAATTGTTCCTCTCCAGGTTATGAGATGATGTTACCAGAGGGTGGAGGTGCGTGTGTAAGACAACTTGGTGGGTTAGTCTTCCCCCTCCTCTTCTTCCTCCTTCTCCTCCGTCTCCTCCTCTTCTTCTTCCTCCTGCTGCTCCGTCTTCTTCTCCTCCTCCTCCTCTTCTTCCTCCTGGTGATGGAAGGTAGAGGTGCTTGGGACCAGAGGAACAGGAGTCATCACCACCTAAGTCTTGCCTCTCGTGGACTCCCTGCTCGAGGTCTTGTTCCCCAGGTCGTCCCTATGATAAGGTGTTTGAAGGCTGACTATTGACTGGATCTTATACGAGGTTACATTAATCTCAAGCAGTTCAGTATATATTAGTATGATATATATTAGTCTATGGCGTAGGGTAGTGTTGGTGTGATGGTGGTGGTGTGATGGTGGTGGTGTGATGGTGGTGGTGTGATGGTGTTGGAGTAGGTGTGATTGGTGTGATGGTGGTGGTGTGATGGTGGTGGTGTGATGGTGGTGGTGTGATGGTGTTGGAGTAGGTGTGATGGTGTTGGAGTAGGTGTGATGGTGTTGATGTGGTGGTGTTAGTCTGGTGATAATAAGTGCTGGGGGTAGAGGTGTTAATTAAATCACTCACAGGTAAGGAGGGTGTAGGAAGGAACGTGTAGCGACCATCAGCAGTGTGGTTGGTGGTAGTGATGGAGGAGGCGGCTGGTGAACGCACACCTAGAATCAACATGAAACACGTAAAGTCACCCCCAAAAAAGTCCTGTCGTCTTTTATCCTGAACCATGAACCCCGAGATTCAGACTCTTGAATCCGGAGCGTTTATGGACAGAATAAATTATCATTGTCTACTGCTTCGGGCTCACGAATCTGAATCTCGGGGTTCATGGTTCAGGATGAGAGACGACAGGACTTTTTTGGGTGACTGTACATGGATAAGAATATTACACACACCCGCGCGCGCACACACACACACACACACACACACTCACTAAACAAATTTTACTCAACAAATTAATCTATGCTAACTTTATCCCATGACACTATCTGAAGTCACCACTCATCCCAGCCGAGTTTGTTTACATTGGAGTCTTCTCACCTGACCACCAGAGGGCCGCCACCAGTAGCTTCACGACTAGCATAATTCTCTTGCTCCTGAACGTTTCCCGTAGATCTGTAATAATAATAATAATAATACCCCAGCGACATATCCTGGTTAAGTACATTAATTAGTCCTCTTGTTAATTAAGCTTAATACCTCCGAGTCTGTGTGTTTCAATTAATGTAACAGTGTCTGATGTAGAGGGTCTTGGGGGGGGGGGGTTATAAGCCTTATACCCCGCCTGCCCTGTTCCTTACCCCTCTTGCCCAGTTCCTCACCCCTAATACTCCTCCTGCCTCGTCCCTCATCCTTAATATCCCCCTGACCCATCCCTCACCCCTAGTACCCCTAGCTCTTACCCTGCTCCTCACCCCTAATCCACCCCCTGCCCCGCCCCTCACCCTTTACAGCCATCCCACCCTCACCCCCTCTTTGCTATTCTATCCACATGAAATTCAGAATCCAGAAAGCTTAAAGGATTTTGACCCGAAAATTAGCTTTCCAAATAAAAAAAGTCGTCATTATGGAATTTTTACTTGAATCTTCCGGGTTTGTGGCGTGGCTGAGCGAATTTACCTGATTTACAACCCCGATCTAGTCAAACGAACCTAGAAAATGAACCCAGGAAAAAGAACCCATTAAAACGAAGCCGCTAGAATGAACCAACTAAAACGTACCCGTTAAATCGAACCCGCTAAACTGAGCCCACGAAAATAAATCCTATAAAACAAACCCTCTATAAACGAACCCGCTAAAGCGAACCCGATGAAACTAACACGTTAAAATGAACCAGCTCAAACGAACTAAAGGGATCCAGCAGTTACGACGTCAATAAGAATGAAAGCCACAATTTCCATCGTGTTTGAAAGTTGTGGCTTAGTGTTGAAACTTTGAAGAGCGAACAGTGAATGAAGACCAGGGGAGTTGAAGCACTTAAAAACCAAGTGAATAGTGAGTGTATTGAAGTGTTAAGTGGATAATATTCTAAGTGCATAAGTCAGCGTTGTATTCATTCGCCTCTGGGTAGATAGAAGTTCATTATGCTTTACAGAATACATAAAGACTGACACTCACCTCGTATAGCCTCGTCGTGTGGGAGAGAGAGTGAATGACGGTGGCAGCTTGAAGCCCAGATATATATGGAGTATTATACTGTATACACCAAGAATAGCCTCAGTAAATAGCACCAGGTATAGATGAGGAGGAGGAGGATGATGAAGGAGGAGGAGGAAGAAGAAGAGAGAGGAGGGAGGAATTAATAAATAAACACGGCATCAGTTGACCACCCGTACTGACATTATTATAAGCAATCATCATCTGCCACTGTTGGAATATCATGTGTGAGTTATGGATGATAGTGTGTTTGGTAAGACGTCAGATGCGGAGTACAACCGACCTACTGAATAATAATGATGATGATAACTGATTTTTTTACACTAAAACAAGGAGTTAGGTTAGGTTAGAATAAATAAACCCAAGTTATATTTCCGATGCGGGTGAGAGGGTTGGAATTACTATCACTCCCCCCTCTCCCACCCACGTCTCCAATACCGCCACCTCCTCTCTCTCTTCTCTCTATTCCTCCCTGCTTCATCTCGCCTCCCCCCACCACTACCCCTCACCCTCACCACCCCTCCCCACCCTCTCTCTCTCCTCCTCCACCACCACCCTCCCCCACTCTCTCTCTCTCTCTCCTCCTCCACCACCACCCCTCCCCCCACTCTCTCTCTCTCTCTCCTCCACCACCACCCCCACCTCTCTCCCCCTCTCCTCCACCACGAGGACTTCACCTCACCTAATGTAAACACTATACATAAGACGAGCAACAAAGCGGTAAGAGGAATGTCTTCATAACTCTTGCACACTCCAATCAAGCGTCGGCGTAGAGGAACTCAGGGTTTTATAACTTTAGGGCTTCAGGGTTTCTGGGCTTCAGGTTTTAAAGGCTTCAGGACTTCGTGGTTGCAGGTTTTCACGGTTTCAGGGCTTGTAAGTTCCTGGGTTTCAGGGATTCAGGTTTTCAAGGTTTCAGAGTTTCGGGGTCTCAGGGCTTCAGGGTTTCAGAGATACTCAAAACCATTACTCCCATCAGTTTTAATCCTCCCGACAAGTATGACTCAATAACCGCAACTCTCTCTCTCTCTCTCTCTCTCTCTCTCTGGGGGACACAATAACGCTCTACTTCAAGAGGCTCCCACACGGCCCCAGTCCAGTACCTTGAAAAGTTTAGTGAGAGACATAAGGCAGTTTTATAATCCTTTCGTTGTGTTAGTATGGGAGGGAGAGAAACGTTTACTTATTATGTCTGAGCTTTCTTTATAGTGTGTGTGTGTGTGTGTGTGTGTGTGTGTGTGTGTGTATTGTGATTGGCTGTCTGAAGTAACACAAAAAAGTGGAGTTATTGGGAAATGATACATCGTAATTCGCTGGTTGAAGGGTAAAAAAAACACAAGCTGTGTGATTGGTTGGCTAAGGAGACAATAAGGCTGCGTGATTGGCTGGTCATACGGGTAAAGAAGCTACGAGATTGGCTGGTTGACTTTCTCTTCTTCGTTACGCAACCTCCCCCACTGAGCTGAGAATGGACTCGCTCGGCTATATTTCAAAATGGTCCTGATGTAAAACTGTAGCGTGATATTAGGGGATATATAATCAACATATAATAGGAGGAATAGAAAGAAAATAATAGGATATAAAGAAGGAATAGGAAGACGAAGAAGAAAGCAGTGTGTGTGTGTGGAACAGAGAGAGAGAGAGAGAGAGAGAGAGAGAGAGAGAGAGAGAGAGAGAGAGAGAGAATCATAAACACATAACACTTTCACACATTGCCAAGGAAATGGAGAGTGGATATTTGACTCTACTAAGGAAAGTTCCCCCAAAAAGAGAGAGACGGAGAGAGATAGAGAGACGGCGCTTTGTAGCTGAGACACACCCTGGAGATACACTGCATTATTCTAGGGTCAAAAGAAAGCTCACTCGTGGGTGTTATCTCCGGGGAAAATATGTGAAAGGTTAGGGAAAGTGGGTGAAAGGCCAGGATTTCTCCCTCGGTGTCTCTTTTGTTTGGGGTAGTGGTGGTAGTGATGGAGGTATTGGTGCTGGTGGTGCTGGGGGTGGTAGTGGGATGGCAGTGGTGCTGGTGGTGGTAGTGGGGGTGCTGGTGGTATTGGTGTTAGTAGTGATGGTGGTATTGGTGCTGGTAGTGCTGGCAGTGGTAGTGGGGTGCTGGCGGTGGTGGTGGTGGTAGTAGTATAGGAGGTAGTAGTGATGGTAGTGGTATAGGTGGTAATAGTGGTATAGGTGGTAGTAGTGGTAGTGGTAAGGTGGTGGTTGGTGGTGGTAGTGCTGGCAGTGGTAGTGGGGTGCTGGCGGTGGTGGTAGTGGTATTGGTGGTAATAGTGGTATAGGTGGTAGTAGTGGTAGGTGGTGGTATTGGTGGTGGTAGTGCTGGCAGTGGTAGTGGGTGCTGCGGTGGTGGTGGTGATAGTGGTATAGGTGGTAGTGGTGGTATAGGTGGTGGTATTGGTGCTGGTAGTGCTGGCAGTGGTAGTGGGGTGCTGGCGGTGGTGGTGGTGGTAGTGGTATTGGTGGTAATAGTGGTATAGGTGGTAGTAGTGGTATAGGTGGTATTGGTGGTGCAGTGGTATAGGTGGTAGTAGTGGTGGTAGTGGCATAGGTGGTATTGGTGGTGGTAGTTGCAGTAGTGGGTGTGCCGGTGGTGGTGGTGGTAGTGGTATTGGTGGTAGTGGTATAGGTGGTGGTGGTGGTAGTGGTATTGGTGGTGGTAGTGGTATAGGTGGTGGTAGTGGTGGTGGTATTGGTGCTGGTAGTGCTGGTGGTAGTGGGTGCTGGCGGTGGTGGTGGTGGTAGTGTATTGGTGGTGGTAGTGGGGTGCTGGCGGTGGTGGTGGTGGTAGTGGTATTGGTGGTGGTAGTGGTATAGGTGGTAGTATTGGTGGTAGTAGTACTGGTGGTATTGGTGGTAGTAGTACTGGTGGTAGAGTTGGTAAGAAGTAGAAGGGGTGATAATAGTTTATCATTCGTTATGGTTACAGCTTCCGGTGGTTATAATAATAGCGCTAGTGATTGTAGCTGTGAGAGAAGTGGCACTAGTAATAGCAATAGTAGTCGTGTCAGTAGTAGTAGTAGTAATGATAGTAATAGTAGTGGTAGTAGTAACAAGGGAAATAATAAGAGACAAGTGGAAGAAGAGTTGTTAACATGATAAAAGGAGCCACACCCTTCTCTCTCTCTCTCTCTCTCTCTCTCTCTCTCTCTCTAGATCAAAGCTGACATCCACTCAATGAAAACGTCAACTTTCCTCTTGCTCGAAAATAAAAATCCAACTTTTATTGCTTAAATGCAACTCGTTTTGTCAAATAGAAATAAGGAAACAGGAGTTGGCATTGTAGTACACTAGAGATTATTAAGAGGTTGACAAGAACTAAAAGTACACTACAAGGGAAAAGACAACAGGAAGAGAGAGCTTAAGACGGAAGACCTACCTGGAGGAGAGACTCTGAGTGGCTCTCTCAAGGTCGTATGAAAGTCTACACGCCGGAGAAAACTCGAGCCTCTCGTGAAAGCTTAGAGAAAGTAGATGAAAGTCAGAGTTATTTATTCTGGATGTGTGTGTCTGTGTGTGTGTGTGTGTTTGTGTGTGTAAGAGAGAGAGAGGCGTTCTTATTCATGGTATCGAGAGAACCTTTCTACCAGCTCTTAATACGTGTGGTAAAAGCTTCAGGAAAACGATGTCATATAACTTCAGAAAATATATCTTCGTAATTCATCTCCGTCTACCAAGTTTTCCTCAGAATATCCTGGTAATATTAGAGACTTAACCAAACACACGTACAAGAAATACTGGTAAAAATAACGCTCTACATCCACTTATAAATCATAGTTTCTAAATTTTAGTGAAGTCTCTGATGTGTAGAAAATGGGTGTTCATAAACATCAGTCAGGAGAAAACGAGAATTTTTCAAGGGAAGACTAAAGTAAGTAGGACGACACCTCATGAATCTGTCGCAAACTTTTTGGG